TGATCCCTCCAGGCTGTGGAACCACCTACCTGAAAATCTAATCTTAAAATCTTTTTATTCAAGCAGGTTTTTAATACCAGCAGCTTTCTTGCTTTTCTTTGTGTTTTTTTAATAGTTTGTTTTTAATTTTTGTATATTGAAGCACTTTGTGTGCCTTTTGACTGTTGGAAAGGGCTCTATAAATAAATGTTGATTGATTGATTAAGAGTTGTTTAAATCACTAAACTATGCAGGCCTGTGTGAGTCCTCATTTTATTTGTATAAAACATTAAGCATCCCACTGCAGTAATAAAGAATGTAGTTAAACTAAACAAGCATAAAATCTGTCCAATTTGTTGGAAATATATCTCTGACTTATTGTATTTTAAAATAAAAACAAACTTTTTTTTCCAGTTCTCATTATAAAATTGACTCACCATATTTCTTCTCAGCAGCTCGTCTTAAAGGTGTTAAAAAGGTTTCTGGTGGATCTGAGAAAAGATCACTCTGTAAGGCTGAAGGCAGGATCTATTCAGCATATCTCTCCTTGAATTAATAATATCATATTTGCAAAAAAAATAAAAAAATAAAAAACCTGAGAGGAAAGCTGCCAAAACTAGCCTTGGTATAAAAACCAATAAAATTCAGCAGASAGATCAAAGTGCCTCCTGCAGGTTGCAGACCAGAGTCAGGCTTAATTCTTCTTGTTTTTCATTTGCATTTATCCTTCAGGTGTTTCCATCTAGCATCGGGGTTCTGAAGATCCAAAGTGACGGAAAGTGCACCTACTCCTCTGAGCCACCTGTTGCCCCCAACCCAAGTCACCAACCAGGACTTTACACCATGAGCCACTCAGACAAAGTGGCCTGTGACGTGACCGACGACGACGGGAACCACTTCCAGGTCTGTTGCTATGGTTCTGAGAGGATAATCGGACCATCAAACGGTCTAAATCACAACATAAAGTTAAAGTTGGTTATTTGTGCTGCAGGTGATGGAAGATGGTCAGATTTCTGTGCTTAGTTCAAGTTCTGCCAGCATCCGCACACACAACAATGTAGAGGACAAGATGTCCCACTGTCCCAGGTACTCACCCAAATCACACATCAACAGCTCAAATTTAACCTACACCTAATAAAACTGAATTATTTCATCTTTTTAGTTCACTGATTTAATCTGCCACAAAGYTTCTCAATAATTCTCTCCTCCAGGCTGTTTCTGGTGCATGAAGATGGTTCAGGCACTGAGCTGTTGAGCTCTGACACGGCGGAGGAGCTGCTGGCCCGAGCCTACTCTGATCCAAACATAGCAGTGCTGGAGGAACCTCTACCAGACAGACAAGGTGACTTTTAATAAATAAAATACAATGAAACACTTTTAAATGTTAGTTTTTATGGATTTTAATTCCCTGAAAAACGTTTTTTTTTTGTTTGTTTTGGAGAAATCATGAGAACTTGTGCGTGGGTGTGTGTGTGGTGTGTTCGTTTCAGGTGAGTTGGCCATCACCATCTTAAAACCCGGCCACCGGAGCGTGTGGTCCCAGTGGTCGCTAAAGAAACAGAACCCTGACGTCACCCCGTTCAGCCTCAGGAACCGTCCCTGGAAGGACTTCCCTGCAGTGGAGGTACGACAAGAACGAGAAAGAACAGCGTGAACGCTTGGAGACGAAGCTGAAACTTAGTTGTTAAAACTATAAGAAGCAGAGCCACAGCAAAAGGGAGCAAAATACAAGCCAAAAGCTAAAAAGGACCTCAAAGCCAAAAGTACCAAATTGCAAGATGAAAGTAGCAAAAGGCTAGTGAGATGCTATCAGTAGCAGAATAGTAGATAAAAACTAAAAGTAGCTACAGAGTTTCAGCAGGGCTATAAAAAGCATGGAGTAAACTAWAGACCTTAAATTACATTAAAAAGCATTTAGGATTTCTTTTTAATTAGTTTTCAAGATAATTAGGATGAGAAGCRTCTTATTTCTTTAAAGAAGTTGCTTTTTTTGCATATAGCCAGTGCTGAAATCTGCTGAACAGCGTTCCCCCGAATCCTTAAAAAGTCTTAAAAGTCATTGAATTCATCAATCCAAAAATAAGGCCTTAATTAGCCTTACGATTTCTGAAATCAATCTTTCATAGGTCTTAAAACAGTTAATACATTGTAAGTAGGATGGTTGTTTTGTGTAGAATAAATATTTGCCATACTGTTTTTTTCTTATTTTTATTTGTGTTTATTGTGGAGTTGGTCTTTAAGTTCATTACAAGTGGCATTTAAGAGATCTTAAGAAGTCTTTTTGCTTGGTTTAAACTGTAGGCACCCTAGAAACTGTGTTGTTAAAGCTTAAAGACATATGCCATTAGCTAAAAGCTAAAAGTAATAGAAAGTTAACTGAAAGTTAAAAGTAGCTGAACAATAGCTAAACCCTAAAAGTTGCAGATTTGTAGCCAAAAGCTGAAAGTAGCAAAAGGCTAACTAAAAGCTAAAAATATCATAATTGTAGCTTTAAATTTGAAGTAGCAAAAGAAGACAAAAACAGGGTACCGTATTTATTCATGTACAATCCAATCTCATGTATAATAC